GGCGCATAAAATCTTAGAATCAAAAGAGGATGTACTTTCCTTTTTACGTGACTGTGACTATTTAAAACACCGGACGGACACGAGGACTACAAAACTGATGACACACAACAAATAAACGGCGCCCTCTGCCATCAGTAAACGGCAGTCAACAAGGCGAATATCAGCCGATGCCGATGTTCTGTTGATAAGTCGGTGCAGTAAATACCTGACTGCGCACCACAACACAGCATCAATACTGCAATAAAACTAAGCTAATTACTGTCAGCAGCTCAGTACAGTCCTATTAGTTGCTTTGTAAAGTGTGCACTTTGTGCCTCATGTATCTAGTTTTTATCTTTGATTTTTATGCCCTTTTTTATCACCATATTCTGCATTCCATTACAATAAACTACAATTTACTGCCGTGATGAGCCACATTTGCTGTTTTTTGCAAACACAATTATCGACACTCAGGGGTCCAATTTAAAAAAATTTTAAAAAAAAACAGCTTTTGTGCTGGAAACTGAGTTTTGACTAATATGTGCAGATTATAATTGTCTGTAAGCAGCTTAGAATGGCTATGAAAGCATTTGTAGACCAGTAAACAGAACTGTTATCTCTAAATTTGTCTTCCAGTATTAACATCAATTTTTTTTAATGGAAGTCGAGAATTTGCACTGATAGAATTAGTCAGGTTTAATTGTGCATTTCCTTACTGTGGATGATTTCATCTTGCATCAGATTTTCAAGTAAGCTAGCAAACAAGGAGGCTCACTCAACAGTTCAAAAAAAGTAGAATAATTGGAAGGAAACTGTTTCCAAATATCAATATACCCGACAGCTCTTTTGTTATTCTCTTTGCAGCATGATGAAAGGGCAATCCTCTAAATCGTTTTCTAGCTGTTGTTTCAGTGTCACACATCTGTCACAGTTCGGGGCTGAAAATGGATCAGATCCACGTCTGCTTTGGACTCCAGCCAACGTCACAACAGTATCAATAATAAAAGGACGTTTTTTCTGTTGCAGTCAATAGGGAGAGTAA